AGTGGGAGAGGAAACCCACCACAGCGACTGGGAGTGGGAGAGGAAACCCGCCACAGCACCTGCGAGAGGGAGCGGAAACCCGCCACAGCGCCTGGGAACTGGAGAGGAAACCTGCCACAGGGCCTGTGAGCTGGAGAGGAAACCCGCCACAGCGACTGGGAGTGGGAGGGGAAACCCAGCAGGAGCAGCTCGGAGTGGGAGCGAAGCCTGCCTCAGCTGGTTTCGCTCCCCTCTCTGCTTGGCTCCAGCCACTGGAAGCCCTATTCTTGCAGGAATCTTCCTGCAACGGGCCTCTAGTCCTATATAATAAAAGGCTAATATGCAAATCGACTGAACGACTGGTTGCTATGACGTGCACTGACCACCAGGGGGCAGACGCTCAATGCAGGAGCTGCACCCTGGTGGTCAGTGTGCTCCCACAGGGGGAGCGCCGCTCAGCCAGAAGCCCTGAGCCGGGTACACAGCTGGTGAGCGCAGTGGCAGTGGTGGGAGCCTCTCCTGCCTCCATGGCAGTTGGACATACCCCTAGGGCTCCTGGACTGTTAGAGGGCATAGGCTGGACTGAGGGACCCTCCCCCGACCCCCCAAGTGCACAAATTTCGTGTACCGGGCCTCTCATATACTATAATTGGAACGATACAGATTAGCATGGCCCCTGTGCAAGGATGACATGCAAATTTGTGAAGTGTTCCATATTTAAAGAAGAAGAAAAAAAAGAACACGTCCTTTTAAGTTAATCAACTAGTGAAAAAAGTCTAGCTGAAGCCAGGTGACCCCCAGTAGGAGAGTGTTTCTTTGTGGGGCGGGAAAGGCAGCATGAGGTTTTAGCTGTACTTTCTTACTGGTGCAACTGGTGAACTGCGCATTTAAAACACGCTGCTTCACCTGCCTGCTCCCTGAGGCCTGTCCCGTGCCCTTAGACTGCTCTTCTTAGGGCTGTGTTCTGTCAAGACCAGGGGTGGACCGAGTCGAGGGCTCATTCTTCCCCTCACCACGTTCTTGCGGAAGTTACTGTCTGACATTTGCACTTAGTCCAAGAATCACTCAGTAATCTCAAGAACAAGATCTGCTTTGTGCCCCCCCCAGTGATCGTGAGTCACCCTTGAGTGTAAGCAGCTGTGTCCGCAGCAGCCTCTGGTGATGTTTCCTCAGAACCCTAGTTCCTCAGTGCCCAATGGATAAAGTTCTAGACTTAGGAATGTTTTGTTTCTTCCAGAAATGCATACTGTATAGTTAGCATTCATACCTTTTTTTATTTTTCCATAAAAATTCTCTAGAGTTCTTTAAAAAAATATCAGCTTCCCCTTTTGAGACTCTAAACCAGCCGTGGGCAAACTATGGCCCGCGGACCAGATCCGGCCCGTTTGAAATGAATAAAACTGTTGAAAAAAAAGACTGTACCCTTTTATGTAATGATGTTTACTTTGAATTTATATTAGTTCACACAAACACTCCATCCATGCTTCTCTTCCGGCCCTCCGGTCCAGTTTAAGAACCCATTGTGGCCCTCAAGTCAAAAAGTTTGCCCACCCCTGCTCTAAACTGATCTCCCCATAACCTGCCTTTTGTTAACCTTCAGCCAGGTGCCCCCTTCCCTCCCCCACGAGGTCTGAAGGCGAAGGTCTTGAGTACCCTGTGAACCCCTGGCTCCAATCTTTACTCAGACCATTGACACCTCTACTGAAGTGTCAATTTAAGTCATTCGTCCTTTTAAGACTTTTCCCAACTCTTTTCACTTATATTATTACTCTTTCTAGCACTTAAGTTATATTGTACAGTTTAGCTACTAAACTTACACCTCCCTCACACACACTGCTTTGCATAGCACTTATATGTAATCAGAATTTAGTAAATGAATGGAATCATTGTCAAGGTTATTAGAGCTTGGAAAAAATAACTGAATTATGATTCAGCCAAAACAGAGACATGGTGCTCACAGAATTGATTGCTTAATGAGTGATTACAATGCATAATGCAAAGTGACAGAAAATGCAAGTGTCATTTATTAACAGATGGGCATGGCTCTTAGGTTTATTTGCATAAGTATATTTAAAACTAGGTAAATTGGTCATCAGAAATTCACACGAAAAGACCAAAGGAAATGTGGTATCTTATGGTTAACGATATTCTTTGATGTGAGCATATAAAATAACCCTACTTTTCTACTCTGAAACAGACTGACTACAGCTGTTGACCTACCTCCTGAGTTCATCCACCTTTACATATCAAATTGCATCTCTACTTGTGAACAGATTAAGGATAAATATATGCAGGTAACCAATAGAAATTTTAGTAAATTTTATAAATAACCTGCCAAGAAAATGGGCACACTGAATTTTTCTTTGCTTTTTCAGAATCGTTTGGTGCGTCTGGTGTGTGTCTTTCTTCAATCCTTGATCCGTAACAAAATCATCAACGTGCAGGACTTGTTTATAGAAGTGCAGGCGTTCTGCATTGAGTTCAGTAGGATCCGAGAAGCTGCCGGCCTTTTCCGGTTGTTGAAGACATTGGACACTGGGGACACGCCTTCTGAGACCAAAATGTCAAAGTAGTACCTCATCAGCACCACCTGTTCAGCTGTGCTGTGATCTGTTTTAACTGTTATAACCCTGAGTGGATTTTTTGTTGTAATATTATAAACAACACTTCAGCTACTTAAAGCAGTTTAACTTTCCTGGGTGACTTTTTCCTTCAGAAGAATTTTTGGTAAGAACTTGAAAAATGTCTTTAGGTGTCTTACAGAAGGAATGGTTATCCAAAGAAAGATTATTGCAAAAAAGTAGGTGAGGTTCTTAGCACTAAAAAGCAAGGTGTTTTTGTTAAAATAAATTGCAGGCTTCTGATTAAGAATCCAGCTTTCCTAAAGTTCCGATGTTAAATGTATTTAATGAGAGAAAATGATGACTAAGACTTTGCTATACTGACCTTTAGGTGAAATCAGTTGAATGTTTTTGGGTCCAAGTGGCAAATAGGTTGATCCTTGAACCCATTACGCAGGTAACTTCTCATTAAGCAGAGTTTTTATCAAGGACATACTTGTAGCTTTATCCTTTCTTGTTTGAGGACTTAACAGATATAACAAAAATAAATTCATTTCCTGGGCCTCTTATAAACACGGGAAGTCTTAGAAACCTTGATCAGGGTTTTAACAGCTAGTATAGTTTTCTGTTTTGTTTTTTTTTCTCAAGATGTTATTTAGTTATGAGTCTAGCTAGGATAGTAATTTTTGAGGAGAAACATCGTCTGTACTTTGGGGAGGAATCTCCATGTAAAATAAACTGCTTGCTCTGCTGGGGGTGCAGGTGCCGACTGAGAAGCAGGAGGGCATCGTGTGGGCTCAGGACAACAGTGCCTTACATTAAAGTTGTTTTTTATAAACTCTATGATCAGAATGTACTTTTTTCTTGAAATTATGAAAAATTATTCATATAATGAGGTATTTTCAAAGCATGTACAGCCAAACCTTGTTTCTTAAACGTCTCTCATCTTGAACAATTAAGTTCTCAATGGAAAAAAGTCTCAGTTGTGGAACCAAACTTTAGTTTTTGACTGCTGAGCTGTGAATATTTTCGTGAAATGGATGAGCAGCAGAGTTTTAAGACATTAAGAGGCATCAAGAGGGCTACTGAGGCTAAGGGTGTGAAAGAAGCAATGACCACAGGCAGTTGAAGAGGTAGGAAAACTGGCTGATTTGGGTGAAGGAAAAGCAGTGCGCCCGCGGCAGCATTTCCAGGCAGCAACATGAAAGACACCCCTGGGACCAGTGCTGAAGGGGGTGGTTTGATAAATGTAAGAAAAGACGTGTTTGTTTATATATTAAACAGTATGCACTGTGTATGAGAAAGGTTAAAATGGGATTTAGGGGCCTGGAATGGATTAATTCAATTCACATTATTTTTAATGTGGAAAATGGTTCGGTTTTTGAACAGGTCACTTCTCCAACAGCCTCTGAACAAAGTAAGTTTGAGCCGCGAGGTTCCACTGTATTTTATAGGGAAACCAGAGGCCCGATGCATGGAATCCGTGTGCAGAGGGCAGTCCCCTCCGCCCAGCCTGCACCAGCTCGCAGTCCTGGAGCCCTCCGGGTCGGGCTACACCGGCACCTGGACATCCCTCTCGCAGTCCGGGACACCACATGCACCAGGGCCATACTTTTCATGCAGGTGAAAGGCATCTTGCTGTTGTATTAGCAGCTACATTTTCCCCCCGATTATAACGTGATCCTTCTGAGGCAGTAGTACCATCTTCCCCATCTTACGGGTGGAAAAACTGAAGCAGAGACAAGTAATTGGCTTTGTCACACAGTTGTGTGTCAGAATCAGGGCTGACCAGAAAATGTGCAAGCCAGAGTCCACGCATGTCATCGCTGCATCATCCTGTCTTTTCAGTGTTAAAGTAGCCTTGCCAGATTTTAATTTTTAAATTTAAGAGACTGTTCCCAATATATAGGGTAGGGTCCCTGAGCCTGACCTGCGATCAGGGCCATCTGCAGGGTGACTGGCGGGTGGGGCGACCCCCTGCTGGCACCTGCCTTGGCTTGGCAACCTGGTGCCAGCTAGCCTGCTAGCCGGTTGCCTCCCTCTTGGAAGTGTTGCGCGTCTGCCCCCAGTGGTCAGTGCACATCATAGTGACCAGTTCCGCCATTCGGTCAATTTGCGTATTAGGGTTTTATTATATAGAGGCCAGCACATGAAATTCGTGCATGGGGAGGAGGAGGGTGTCCCTTAGCCCAGCCTGCACCCTCTCCAATCTGGGACCCCTTGGGGGATGTCTGATGCCAGTTTAGGCCCGATCCCAGTAGTCAGACATCCCTCTCACAATCCAGGGCCGCTGGCTCCTAACCCCTCACCTGCCTGATCACCCCTAACCACTCTACTGGCCAGCCTTCTTGCCCTCAACTGCCCCCCCCCACCAGCCTGCTCACACCCAACTCTCCCCCCTGCTGGCATGATTGCCCCCAACTGCCCTCCCCTCCTGGCCTGGGGGCCAAAGAGCTGCATGTGGCTTGCCAGCCGCAGTTTGCCGACCAGTTCCAGTCCAATCTTCAGCAACAAGTTCAAGAAAACCAAGCCTAGTGATGTGAAGTACAAGTTTCAATCTTATAACGTTTGAAAAGTAATACTCCTAGGTTTATAATAAATTTGATCTCAGGTATATCCTTATGAAAGTAAGGGGCTTATACTAGAGGCCCGTTGCACAAAAATTTGTGCACTCGGGGGATGGGGGGGGCTGCCCTCAGCCCAGCCTGTGCCCTCTCGCAGCCTGGGACCCCTCGGGAGATAACACCCTGCTGGCTTAGGCCTGCTCCCGGGTGGCAGAGGGCAGGCCCAATCCCTAGGTGCAGCCCCTGGTTGGGCTCAGAGCAGGGCTGATTGGGGAGTTGGGGCGCCGCCCTGTCATGCACAGAGCAGGGCGGATCGGGAGGTTGCGATGCCACCCTCAGTCACGCTCAGGGTAGGGCCGATTAGGGGGTTGGGGCACTGCCCTGTCACACACAGAGCTGGGCAGATCAGGGGTTTGGGGCGCCGCACTGTTTCACACTCAGGGCAGGGCCGATGGGGAGGTTATGGCTCTACCCCGTCACACACAGAGCAGGACCCATGGGGGCTGGGGTGCCACACCCTGTCACACACAGACCTGCAGGGCGATCATGGGGTTGGGATGCCTTCCCCTGTCACAAACAGAGCAGGGTGGATAGGTAGGTTGTAGCCCCACCCCCTGTCACACACAGAGCCGCAGGGCCATCAGGGGTTTTGGGCACTGCCCCGTCACGCTGATCTGGGTGGGTGCTGGGAGGCCTCGTGGCTCTGCTGATCCC